TTGTCTAAAAAAACGAAAATTCCAGCTTGAGAAACCCAAATTCCCGATGGATCTAAGCTTTAGCTATTAGGAAAAGAGGAAGAGAAGGAGAAGATACTCGATTCGAACTCTGTTTCCGCCGTTGAAGTAACGAGTGACATTGTCATGAACCCAGCTCTCTGCAACCTTTCTGGACGCATTCAAGCTCTTAATCATAGAATTAGGGATTCCGACAGTGACACCGACATTGGAACCAGAGAGAGCTTGTAGAACTTTTGGGTCGGCATCGAAGAGCTTCACTTTGGCAATGCCGTTGGATTTCAGAAGCTCTACAACCTTGGAAGGAGGAAGAGGGTGCGACGCTTCCGTTCCCCAGTTCACGCCGACCGCTCCGGCAAAGATTCCCGTCAGACTAAACTCCGCCGTGAAGGCGACGAGGAGGAGAAACACCCGATGAGGACGAGCCATCAAATTCAATGAATCTCCTCGTTCCGCGATAGTTTCTGACCGAGAAGTTAAATGTTCAAAAAAATAAAGCAACTACGTGCCGTTTTACGACTGAGCCTGTCCACTTGCCCCTGTTATTTACATACCATTGGGCTTTACATTTTACTACATGGGCTTTATCTCGCGTAGATTCCTTGTTGCCACGTGGCATTATTCGATTATGGAGTCTAGACATCCAGAGAGTGTGTCGGAAAGTGAAATTGTCTGAAACAGAGAAAAAGAGAGCTCAAATCAAATCATCAATGTCGACGACGGAGCGAGAAGTAGTTTGCGTCACCGGCGCTAGTGGCTGCATCGGATCGTGGCTAGTCCACCTGCTCCTCCACCGCGGCTACTCCGTTCACGCCACCGTGAAAAACCTCCGTAATCTTTAACGAATTTCCTCTCCTCCGGTCAACCGTATCTCCTCCTAATTACCATTGATTTTCTTAATTTTGTGTTGCAGAGGACGAGAAAGAGACGAAACATCTAGAAGCTCTCGAAGGTGCGGCCACGCGCCTCCATCTATTCGAGATGGATCTCCTCCAATACGAAACCGTTTCCGCCGCCGTCAACGGATGCTCCGGCGTATTCCACCTCGCATCGCCCTGTATCGTCGACGAAGTCCAAGATCCACAGGTTTCTATATATTCTCTGTATCTTAATTCTTAACTTTAAATGGACAGAGATAATTTATATATATATATATGTGTGTGTTTTTTCACTTTTCACAGAAGCAACTACTGGACCCGGCGGTTAAAGGGACCTTAAATGTACTAACGGCGGCGAAAGAATCCGGCATTAAGAGGGTTGTTGTGACGTCATCGATATCAGCGATAACCCCAAGCCCCAATTGGCCTGCGGATAAGATCAAGAACGAGGAATGTTGGGCTGATCAAGAATACTGCAAGCAAAATGGAGTATCTATCTCAAATTTAACATCTTCTTGGTTACATTTTCTTGTCAAAATGTAGATGAGTAGAAATCTTTGTGTTGTTGTTGGATAGTTGTGGTATCCATTGTCGAAGACGCTTGCTGAGAAAGCAGCTTGGGAGTTTGCAGAGGAAAAGGGACTAGATGTGGTTGTGGTGAATCCAGGAACTGTCATGGGACCTGTGATTCCTCCAACCCTTAACGCGAGTATGCTCATGCTTCTACGTCTCCTTGAGGGTATTTTTCTCTTAATCTCCAACTTTAATTTGCCTCATGTATGTTCTATTGAACATTTTATGATTTGCATAGACATGAATGCGCACAGGGTGTACAGAGACATATGAGAACTTCTTCATGGGTTCTGTGCATTTCAAGGACGTTGCTTTAGCACATATTCTTGTCTACGAGAACCCATCTGCAAAAGGAAGACACTTGTGCGTCGAGGCAATCTCTCACTACGGTGATTTTGTAGCCAAAGTAGCTGAGCTTTATCCCAATTACAATGTCCCAAAGTAAGTCACAAACTCTATTTCAAACCACATGCTATATATATGTAGCATTCAATAACAACGACCCGCCTGCATTGTAGGTTACCGAGAGACACTCAACTGGGTTTACTGCGAGCAAAGAACGGAGCAAAGAAGCTGATGGAATTGGGATTAGAGTTCAGTTCCATGGAAGAAATCATCAAGGAAGGTGTGGAGAGTCTTAAAAGCAAAGGATTTATCTCTTAAACTCATCTGTTTGATTGGGTATGAACAAAAGTCTGGAGGCAGTAGAATCATATTATATGATATAAGATTTTGCAATTTGTAATAAATAAGCTAGACATTGTTATGCAGATCCAACTAAATTATCTTTTGTGTGTGAATAGATCAGCTCTCAGATTATCAAAAGATGAAGAGTACAGTAAGTGTGTGTTTTTTTTTGCTTTATATAAGTTTGGTGTTGAAATTAGAGCGAACTGTCGATATGTCCGAGTGGTTAAGGAGATCGACTCGAAATCGATTGGGCTTTGCCCGCGCAGGTTCGAATCCTGCTGTCGACGATTTTTTTCGATTTTTTTTTTTCTCTTGTACACACGTTTATGTCTGTAACCTATCTGAGTGACAAGTGTACTGCGACTTTTTTTATTACACACAATTGAATAGTCTACGCATCTGAAGATCGCGTAATCTCGTTATTTAGCTAGTTGTTTTCGTTTTTGTTAAGAATGTTTTGAGTTTGATTATGAAATGTTGAGATATCAACCCATATCTCAAAAGATTAGACAATATAGGAGTAGTAGTTTAATACTCTTATATAAGTTAGTTAAGTTAAAAAATATAAATGTTTTTGGTAAAATATTCAAAAATAAATCCGTGTGAACTTGGTTAATTAGCTCAAAGCAGATCGTGTTATATTAGTGGTAGAGCTCTAATGGGTTTGCAGAACCCAACATGAACTGATGAAAATATACATAAATATTACGGAGAAAAATTAATGCAAGGTTGGCCACTAGTCCTTTTCGCATTTTAACTTGTATAATTAATCAAGACCACCCACTATTATTTTTTGTTTTTGCTATATCTAAGATAAATGGACATTATTCCTCTTTTGTTATCATGTTTCTGCGGTTAATAAGTATACAAATATGTACATATAACTAATCTTTTTCTCATATGAATTCCATGAAAATTGGAAAATCATAAATAAATAAAAAAAACAATCCACATTTTCTATGCCTATAAAATGTAAATGGTACTTTAACTCTCGAAACAAATGAAGGGAACTAAAGTCGCTGAATTT